AAGAGCTTGAACTCAGCAATATTGCTGGTCACTGCTGTGTTTCCCTTTTCCTCTTTGTGGAATTTCTCATATTTGCATGAAATCTCCTGATCAGTCACGGTATCATCCTACATAATACTGTGACTGCAGCTCCCTGTATCCTTAGCAGAGAGTTTATTCTGCGTCTCCGTCCTGGCTGGACTCCAGACTTGTTTAGTAAATTCAAGTTTGTTAACATCCCTCTGTGGGTCGCTTTGGTCGGTGTTAGCCTTGCACAAAGAGGCTCCGGAAACAGGATATATCAAGTTTAAAAATGTTAAACCAGTTATTGCTAATGCTTACAAAGACTGGCAATGGTTTATTGAGTCCTAGGGTGGTAAGCCTTGCTGTGCTCCCTACCCCAGGCAGGCAGCCAAAAGGTATTTACTGAGCAGTGGGATTAGGAGGGAAAGGCTGGGCATCCTCTGTGCTGCTGGGTTGCTGTCATCTGCTGTCACAACCACCTCTCTGCTTTCTGTTGGTTTTTTTTACTTTGCAATTTTAAGTTGTCCTGTGTTGGTATTTGTCCTGTTGAATCCTTGAGCTATCAGTGGTACCAATCGCAGGAATCCCATCTCTATCTGTGACTTGTCCCTTTTTATCTCTCCAGACATTATCAGAGCTCGTTCTTGCAGCTTAGCAGGTTTTTGGATCATTGGAACACAGGCAGCCGGGCTCTCCAAGGGCAGGAAGTCAGAGCTGGTTGCAGCTTGGTCTGGCCATGTTCTCAAGGCAGGGAAGGTGCAGCACAATCACCACGTAGCTACCAGAGTAGCTATTTAGAGAGCTCTAGCGTGAAAGTTGGCAGTCAGAACTTTCTGTTTATCCATATGGATTGGGGAACTTTGCAAAATGGACTGAGGGAGTTGAACAAAAAGCAGGAGAAAACATCATTTGGCTCTTTTTATGGTACTCTGAAATTTTGAGTTTCAAGGGCTTTTTCAGGAGCCAGGTAAGCACGTTTGTCTTTGGGGAGATTCACCTAATTTTCATTTGCTTATGATTAAGTATCAGCCTGTCCTTGCTTGCTCAGTTCTGTGAGAGGTTCTAATCAGGATGTCACTGCACCAGAAAAAATAGTGTAGAAGTTTGCACAGACATCCCAAACAAAGCCTATTTGAAAGAGGAAATTGAAAATCTGACCTTAAATGTCCACGCTCTTGTTTTACAAAGTGGCATAACGTTGGAATTGCTTAATCTTTTGGTTATTTGCAGCCTTTTTTCAGAAAGATCCGTTGTGAAACCTGGCTTTAGGGTTTCACTCCTTGCTTACTGCTATGCAGCTGCTTCCTGGGTGCAAGCGGATAATCGTAGGAAGTGACTAGCTCAGTAAAAATGCAATTCAAACACTTGGCTTCCACCTGCTGTTATTTGAGGTGTAGCTAAGGCCAGCTGACAAGGTAACTGGTTTCCTAGATGTATCATCTCCAGGATGTTGGCCTTGCTTCAGGCCTTACTGAAGTCCTGAGTGTTGTTTCATTGTGGGTAGGTTTCAGGGCATTAAGAACTGTAGAGCACAAGTAAGGCTGCTTTTTAAAAATTGGGCTTTGAGGTTACTTTGTTCATGTTTTGAATATTTTTCATGAACTAGTCTTTAATTGCAGAAATCTTTTCTATTTCTTCAATCCATCATCGTGATGGAGAACCTAAAAGTCTTACTTCTAGAGATAAATTCTTCCTATCTGTTATTTTATTTTGCTGGCTCAGAAAAAGAGCTTTGGATGCTAGAGTGACTTGTCTCTTCTGCCTACATGGAGAGACTCTCAGTCCATGTTTTCTGAAACTGTAACTACTGAGAAACTGTCTCATGCTCCTAGTGCTCAGCAACGTTCTCTTCTGAATCTTTTTTTAATAGTTTTTGGAGGGCAACTTAAAAAGCCCAGTGCTACCATATTCTGAAGAGGCTGCAGGGTTTTGTGGATTGTTGCTGAGAAAAATGTCATTTTTTCTATTTTGCATAGTTAACTTGTCAGATAAAACAACGTTAGAGCCATGACAAAACTGCTAACTTGAAGTTTCAGACCTTAGAGAAATGACATTAACTTATAGGATAGGATCTGTAGTACCGAGTATTGTTTGTCATTATGAGTACTGGGTATTGTTGGATTCCTGGTCTGGTTCAGTAAGGCAAAATTTGTGTTTTTAATACCCTAAATGGAAGTTTTTTTCTTAGTTTTTGAGTACTATTACTCAAAATTACTCAAGCATAAATTGGGAAATAGTTGTCTGCAAGTTTCATGTAGAATAGTCATTGAGAAGCAAAACAAAATTTTTCTGCTGTGCCGAATAGGTTAT